ACTTGATCAAATATTTGGTTAAATAATTTGTATTAATCAGCAGCAGGGAGGGTGAGATGACAACATATTTGCGACGTAGATGGCAGCAATTTGAGGGTGGTTATGACAATGTATTTGCGACAAAATCGCTAAGGCTCCATTTGTAAAATGGGGTCTTTATTTTTTTTTGGTTAAAATATGAGATTTCGTAGGAAGGTTCCATTTGGCATTCTGAGGCTTTAATCGATTTTGTCGCAAAAATTTGTAGGATTCACCCTCCCTGCTGCTAGAATTTTAAAAATGATATTAACAGCTGCCTCACTTTGCATTCGGCATTAAGAGGTTAGTTTTTAGGATTGGTCGGCCTGGTGTCAGGATAATGTGACTGGGTGCGACATCATGCCACATGTCTGCGGCGTAATTCCCGAATACTGGACATCAATATAAACTGTCACACTATAGACATCGAACGATTTGACTGAATAATTGTGAAATCTACGTTAAAAATCTCAAGCACACACGAGTTTGTTCGTTTTATTTGTGTTTTCATTGTTTCTTTTTATATTTATCTGTTTCTTTTTTGCCTAGTTTGTTTATTATTATCTTATTATTTTAGATACTGTTATTTATTTTGATGTTTGATTGTTTCATTTGTGTTTTGTTTGCTTCTGCCTGTTTCCATTTTGCTTCCTTTGCTTTTTTTAGCATTGTACGAGTTTTAAGTAGTTTGTTTTGTTCTTTAAATCATTTCATTTCTTACTAAATCATTTCATTTAATATCTGGTCATCTGGAATCGGAAGTTATTATTTTATTTTTGGGTTACAATCATTTAATTTCATGCTACATCATCTCATATCTCACATCATTTGGAATCTGAATTCATCATTCCATTTGTTGTGTTAAATCATTTCATGAAACACCACATCATGAAACACCACAAACAGACAGTGTGTTGGTGATATCCATAACCGTAGATCATGTCTCGAGAAGCCCATCAACAGTAAATTTGGTATTTTAAACTCATGGCGGCCGAGGTGATTGCTTCCGTATTTGACGCATTCTATCCGCAGCCTCATAATGTCAGACCTATTGACTGGGCCCAAACATTGAAAGTTGTACAGTGATAGCTTACACACAATATCGGGAGAGATTTTCAGTTCTTCAAAATCCTGATGAAGAATCTAACTTCAGTCGTTTGAGAACATTAGACACGAGTCTGCCATATTAGTTCTTTCATTTTAGTCACTACAGTAAGACAATATTTCCCCTTAGGTCTCTTCGCGTGTGACTTTCTATAGAACATAAGAAAGTTTCGGCGTTCCATACATAAACTTTCTTTCTTCATATGTTTAGATATCTTGATACAAAAACTGGTGGCGAACACTGTTTAGATTGGATGTAATGTGAAATCTGCTTGACAGGGTGATGATAACGGATCCTAAATTTGATTACTCAGTTTAAGTCGACCAAATTGCTTTTGTAAACAGACTGCTTGGACCCTTGGCGCGCCTGCACAAGATCCGTCTTTGGTTCTCATCATAATGAAGTTTCTCATCATAAAGAAGTTTCATATAAAGAAGTTTGCACATCATATAAGGACAAAAGCACCGCATATAAAGAAGTTTGCACATAATATAAGAATAAAAGCACCGCATATAAAGAAGTTTGAACATCATATAAGGACAAAAGCACCGCATATAAAGAAGTTTGTACACCATATAAGGAAGTTTGCACATCATATAAGGAAGAAAGCACCGCATATAAAGAAGTGTGCACATCATATAAGTATGAAAGCACCGCATATAAAGAAGTTTGCACATCATATAAGGACAAAAGCATCGCATATAAAGAAGTTTGCACATCATATAAGAACAAAAGCACCGCATATAAAGAAGTTTGCACATCATATAAGAACAAAAGCACCGCATATAAAGAAGTTTGCACATCATATAAGAACAAAAGCACCGCATATAAAGAAGTTTGCACATCATATAAGTACGAAAGCACCGCATATAATGAAGTTTGCACATCATATAAGTACGAAAGCACCGCATATAACGAAGTTTGCACATCATATAAGGACAAAAGCACCGCAAATAAAGAAGTTTGCACATCATATAAGGAACAAAGCACCGCATATAAAGAAGTTTGCACATATAAGGATAAAAGCACCGCATATAAAGCAGTTTGTACATCATATAAGGAGGAAAGTACCGCATATAAAGAAGTTTGCACATCATATAAGGACAAAGCACAGCATATAAAGAAGTTTGCACATCATATAAGTACGAAAGCACCGCATATAAAGAAGTTTGCACATCATTTAAGTACGAAAGCACCGCATATAACGAAGTTTGCACATCATATAAGTACGAAAGCACTGCATAAAAAGAAGTTTGCACATCATATAATAAAAGTTGTCATCTTAAGACAGCTGTGGCGTTTCGTCACTTTTAATACACATGACATGTAGTTTCTGAAGTACGACTAGTTAATCAATGTCTGTATGATGTGGAGTGGTAATCCTGTCAAGACAACGGCACTTTTCGGTGTATTAACTTTGTACTTTCAGCACTCTTACACCGCTTTTAAAAACCAATCTTAGCTTTCTCTCAGACCGCGTATATATCTGGGTCAGCCGTTTCTTTTCTTCTTATGGAACTGTAAACCTAAGGAAGCATCTCTGTTAGCGGTACTTTTGGTGGTGGGTACTTGGCATCTGGGAATAGACTAGTGCTGACCAATTGATATCATACAGCTATCAATCAGCTCATGCCCACGCACTACAGACTCCTCCGCCCACTGAACGTTGCACAGTTGCTCACATGACAAACTACCTTGACCACTTACTCTGGACCACTCTGTTTCTTTGATAGCAATGACTATAGCTTTGTATCTCGTCCGTGCCGGACAGTCAGGCTAAATGAGGTTACATGTCTTACATTTATAACAATGTACCATAGATAACTCATTTGTCTTGTTCGGATCTATCACTCTCATCTCCGAAGGCGTTGTACCGTGTTCAGATCCACTGATCTTTAGACTACCTGCCCTGTTCTCTGCAACTGTGCTTTTGGGTATCCATTCTCCTTTATCTATCAAGCTTCTGAGAAGTGATCCACTCGTGTATCCATGTCGTCCATTTTGATGAAGGAGTTTTCTTTCCAAGACAATTATAGTTCTCGACACGTGTGGTATCTAGGCAAAATAAATATATTATCACTCGAACGTTGTATCACCTTTCCCCATTTTCCACTCATAGTTGAAAATAGTTCTCTGAGCTAAACATAAACTGGGTAAACGGTTACGATTTAGTTCCGAATTTCAGCGTCGTACTTTTTACTGGGTTTGATATTTACATGAAAGTCTGTTTCTTGTGTAAAAAGAAAACAATAAAGGCAAAGCAGGATTTGAACTAGCCTGAATGTGTTGTTTTAAACAGAATTAACTTTGACCATAATTTAATCCCTTCTAAATTTGTAAACACGTGCACATTAAAGCTTGATTTGTTTTGTACTGAACTGATTTATTATTTCTGTCACCTCTCTGAAACCTGTTGTGCTCATAACAATATAGTTTGCCGTATCATTGGTGATGGGCATATAATTGAAATTCTGTTGTAATATTTTAAAATGTTAAGAATGTAAAATGTGTATGTCTGTGTATGTCTTTATTATTCAACTCAAGTAAGTTGTGTTATCTGTTATGGGTAGTCAAAGTACATCAAAGAGACTGTATATGTATATATATATATATATGAATTTATAGTGACAACGCATGCTTTTCTAAATGTCCTAAATTTATCTCTCATCAATAATTATTTTAACTACGATACAATTTTACGAATAAATAAAGAAGAAATGTGTAGAATTGTGAAAGAAATTTTAAGTTTAAAATTTATATTTCTACTGTGGCACATTAGCATACCACGGGCTCGATGTATGTATGTATGTATGTATGTATGTATGTATGTATGTATGTATGTATGTATGTATGTATGTATGTATGTATGTATGTATGTATGTATGTATGTATGTATGTATGTATGTATGAGTACTTAACTGGAATGAATAAACGATAGCACTGACATGGATAGAAACCAGGTACGTCTCCGTCAGAAGGCTAAAAGTTCCGGACAAGCCGGACTGGTTATCAATGAGCGAAAGATATGCCCTTCGTTGTTGTACTCCAACCCTACTTATGATAGGTATCAATCGAATTCCACATTATTTTACCGCTAAATATGAGCGGAACTCTGTCTGTCTTTCTGTCTGTATATCTCTCTCACACATAGACACACACACACTCTCTGCCTCTGTCTCTGTCTGTCTGTCTGTCTGTCTCTCTCTCTCTCTCACACACACACACACCGACACCGTCTCCAAAAGAAGGTTTGTTTATTTCATGAAGACAGAAATTATAGATCCCATTCAAGTACCTTTACTTTACAGACAGCGTACATATTATAACTGTTAAAGATACGCTATAAAAAAAAACAAATCACCCCCACCCCAACGTATCACAAGGCTCAGCTAGACTTGTCAGTAAGTGGCCTTATATAAATTCATATATATTCGACCGCTAAAATTTGTAAACTAACCTGCAGTTGGTAACATACCTTCAATTCCCGTTTGTAATTTAAGTTTTTATGATTCCATGCTTCATGTTCGTTCGATAACACGAGCATATACTGAATCAGATCTGATTATCGAAAAAGACATAAGAAATATTGAGAGAGAGAGAGAGAGAGAGAGAGAGAGAGAGAGAGAGAGAGAGAGAGAGAGAGAGAGAGAGAGAGAGAGAGAGAGAGAGAGAGAGAGAGAGAGAGAGATGAGATGTTAGTCGAAGAGTCTATGTATAAAATATTAAATTAAATCAAATAAGAATATGGATTGTTTGATTTAAGAAAATGTTGGAGTTTACATTTTTGTGTGCAGCGTATAAACTTTAATAAGCACGGATTTAAGTCACAGGGCTGTTTACAAGGGCAATGGGAGTGTGTAGCAACTTGACCGCTCCAGTGGCCTAGTGGTTAGAGCGCCCACCTCGAATGCGGGAGGTTGATGGTTCAACCCCTGTTAAGTCATACCAAAAGCTTATAAAATGGTACTGACACATGCCTCGCTAGATGCTAAGCATTAAGAGGTTAGTATTAGTACTTGTCGGCCTGGTGTCAGGATAATGTGAATAGGTGAAACATGATGCTACATCTCTGAAGCATGATGCCCCAGTGCTAGACATCACTATAAACTGCCACATTGCAGATATCGTAGTGATATGACTGAAAATTGTTAAAGCTACGTTAAAAATCCAAATCACACACACACACACACATGTAACAACATGATTATCTTCCCTTCCAAGATCAAATATTTCGGGTGCCTTGTTGTCTGCACATTTTGGACTTGACTACACTCTGGCGTAACATTTGTTTTGCAACGATGTGTGGCCTTTTGAATGCCGGAGCGATTTAAAAAAAAGTATTCAAGATCCATATAGAGCGTAATGCTAATGATGCTAGCTATAAATGTCTTAGAGTCTAGGTTCAATTTCCCAAAGCCTTGGTAAACATGCAATCAAAATCAACAATCAAGGGAATGTGGTTATCTACCTCTACTATGTTTTGTCTTACTCCTAGGAGAAATAGGCACTACCTGTCTCTTTGCTATTGTAAGTTGCCAGATAATGAAAGGTCAGGGCAATTGAAGGACGAAATGCATATCAAGAACTATATTATTATTCTTATCATAGCTATTATAACCAAGTCTTACCTATGATACACATTCATAATGTTGTAAATAATATGGTGCACTAAGTTTTTGAAAAGTAATTCAATTTTATTAAAATAAAATTGGCCAGTTGTCTAACGAAAGGGAAAGGGATGCCCCACACCTCTAGTTATCATGCTGCATCTTCCACAATGTAATGTTACCAATTTTTGAAAGAAATTATATCTTTATTTCGACATGTACATAACACATCATGCGCTCTGCAGAAAGGTTCCATGTTGGGATTGAAGTAAGATATAGGTTTTTGTCTAATTTGTCCTGCTTTTTGTTTACGTGTTTCCTCCTTTCATTACGTATCTTTATCTATGCCTGTTTCTTCTTGGTCATTATGTTTTTTCTCCCTGTCTTTGCGTTTTTCCTTCCTTCCTTTCCGCGTCTCTGGCTCCTGAATATCATACAAATTCAATTTTAATAATAGCATATGAAGTTCACTAATCAACAGGGCGATGGAGGCTGAGACGGGAAATGATGTGTAAACAGCATGGAGGCCCAAGTTCTTGGATACTACAAGTTTTCAATACGTGTTCAGAAAAGAAAATAAAAAAAAAATTAAACTATCATTAGGCACCCTAAAGGAATACTCCATACCATTTGTTATCTTCCAGTATCTTCCTCGATGTAATGTTGCTAAGCTTTAAAAAAATTAGATCTTAAACTCGATACATAGAAAACATAGCGTGTGTTCCATAGTAAACATTCCTCTGCGGAATTAAGGTTAAATATAGATTTCTGTCTACTTTCTATCACTTTTTTCTTACGTGCTTCTTTCATTTATTTTGTGTCTCCCCCGTTTCTTTCTATCGTTCTATGTCTTTCTCTCTGTGAGTTATAATTTTCTTGATATGCTCATTCACCTCCTGAATATCTTTCTTTCAATCTGCACGTTTCTGTCTAATTTCTCTGTGCGTTTCTAATTTTTCTGGTTTTTGTCTGCGTGCTATTTCTTTCAATCTTTATTCCTCTGATTTCTCTGTCATTTTATTCATTTCGATCTCTATGTGTTTCTTCCTCCATTTCTTTCCGTTGCCTTCAGGGTATCAGAAAATATTTGTTTGAATGATCACCTATGAAGTTCACCAAGTGATGCTGTGGGGTGGGATGGGTGGGGTTAGTTGGGGCGTGAAGGTGAATATAAAAACAGCTTGCAGGTTTTTTGGGCCATGTGCATTGTACATTTTACGTCCAGGCTCCGAATTATTGAAGCGTCATGAGCAAGACTGCCATACTAATGTTCAGACGTCCCAAGTAAGATTTGACAATTCAAAAATCAACTTATTACTAAGCGCTTTTAAAGCAGAGGAATCTAAGTTAGGAAAATCCTGAAAGTTCTAAGACTCCCATTGTAATATAAACAAACTTAAAATATATCACAGTTGAGACAGTTAACTTGATAAAGAATCCTTTGCTCAACCCAATTCGTGGCCAAAAATTTAAAATTAATATTCGGCTCCACTTTCCGAAAAAGCGAATTAAAACATGTTATGTACTTTTCTAGATCGAGGACTTCATACAACAATAAACATGGGGGTCAGGTTGACGATGCTTGTGACAGTTGTAACCTTTGGAGTGTACTTCAGTAAATTAGGTAGGTAATTCTTATATATATATATATATATATATATATATATATATATATATATATATATATATATATATATATATATATATATATATATATATATAAAAACAATTAAAACCATAATTTTATTATGCTTATTTTATTATTGATTGGAACGAGAAAGACCCATGGACCGCAATTCTTTGTTTCTTTAATATAATTTTCGTTTCGTTAAAGTTTATGTACTGATTTTAAATATTTGGCGGACTTTGTAGTGCCATTTTTGTTTTGTGTCACGTTATTCGGCATGTATATATATATATATATATATATATATATATATATATATATATATATATATATATATATATATATATATATAGTTACAACTCTGTGGTCTTAAACTAAATAAGAGAAAGGAGCGAAAACCATCAAATTTAGGAATATATAGCAAATAATGTTCCCCTAGAATACAAAGTGAACTTTCAAAAAACTTGCAATATTGTGAATTAAATGTCAAACGGCCACACTCTAACAGTTTTCATTTTAGATCAGATTTTCATTGCATGATTAAAAGTAGTTATACCCGCTGAATCTGTTATTAAGTGTAAAGAAGAAATAATAATTAAATACAAGATATATATATATATATATATATATATATATATATATATATATATATATATATATATATATATATATATATATATATATATATATATATATATATATATATATATATATATATATATATATATATATATATATATATATATATATATCCAAAATGCTTTTATTTCTAAGAGGCCAATGTCATGATCATGTATTGAAAACAACACATTTATTGGGTTTCAAAAGCCTCAATCTGATTTTATTATGGAGAATTATGAACTATTAATGTTGAAGGGTTCTATATCACTTTGGGGTGATTAAGAAAATCCTATCACTATTACAATTTTAAGGGATACAAGAGCTTACCAGAGTCTTTTAGTTTGAGGTACTTTGCCTTTTTCCGAGAAGTCTTCTTCTAATGAGATTGTTTTCATTCAAGTAGTAGAGTGAGGCTTTATTAATATTCCTCTCCATTTGGCAAATTTGTCATTAGACGTAGTTTCAAGACATATGGCAGTCGGTATAATATATTCTTTACCCTTGGAGGGCAATCATTTGTTAATAGGCAACTACCTAGCTGGCTGCAAGGTTGTGGTTAATCCATTTGTCACTGACAAGCCTTCATTGAATCAGAAACTTGATCCAATTGAAAAAGAATACCCTGATTTATACCCAGCTTGTGCAGTTACAATAGTTATGGCAAAGAAAGCTCTTGAAAATGATTTTGATAAGGTAAATATTCCTTTAGCTGAAACATGTATTGGTAAGGCTTTTGATTAGGTAACTTTTACTCCTTGTTTGGATCAATTAAACGATATTGACCACAGTGATCCTCTTTTAAATACTCATTCTCATTTACCTATTCAGATTGACAAAAGACAATCACTTGTCATCTAACAGGAAAAAGATCCTGAGATCTGCTGTTTGTTTCAGAGGGCCATTAGTGAAACTGCAGGCACTGAAGTATCTGTCTATTATTTCATTAAAATAGAATTCTTATGATATAATGGATATCTCCCGAAGTACCTGCTGGTGACGAGTGGTCAGTGAACCATCAGATTGTAGTTTTAACATCTTACAGACAGGAAATACATAGCCTGGCTCATGAAACTCCTCTGGCTGGTCATTTAGGGATAAATAAAATTTGTCACAAGATTTTGACTCACTTTTACTGGCCAAAAATCAAAAGTGATGTTTGTAAATTTTGTAGATGTTGTCATGCTTTTCAAATAGTAGGAAAACCTAATCAGAAGATACCTAAGGCTTATCTGCAACTTATTGTTACATCTGGCGAACCAATTATCAAAATTATGATAGATTGTGTTGTTCCTTACCTAAGACCAAACCAGGTATTTGTTGACCATTTTATGTGCGTCAACAAGAGTCAGTTCCTTTGAGGAATATAAAGATCAAAACCATAGTAAAAGCTCTGATAAAGTTTTTTTTTTAAAAAACTCAATCTGGCCTTCCTAAATCTGTCCAATCGGATCAAGGGTCAAATTTTCTGTCTGAAATATTTCAGCAAGCTATGTACGAATTAGGCATTCAACAATTTTACTTTTCTTTTTACCACCCTGTCAGCCTAGGGCTTTAGGAAGATTTTATCAGACTTTGAAGAATATGATTCGATCATATTTCTTTAATACGAGAAAAGATTTTGATGAAGGCATTCATTTACTTTTGTTTGATGTAAGGAGTCCGTTCAAGAATCTTTAAGATTCAGTCCATTTGAATAAGTTTTCGGATATCCTGTGCGTGGACCATTGAAGTTGTTGAAAGAGAAACTTCTTTCTAACGAAAATACTGAACTCAGTCTTCTTGATTACGTTTCTGATTTTATATACAAGTTATCAAAGGCTTGTGAGATCACAAGAGCAAATATGCACTCTACTCAGTCAAAAATGAAATCAAGATATGATGAGAACTCAAGGGAGATGAGTTTTCAGCCTGCTGATAGAGTTCTAGCTCTCATGACAACTTCACAAAATCCCCTTTATGCCAAGTATTATGGTCTTTACACGGCTGAAAAGAAAGTAAATGATTTAAACTACATCATAAATACTCCTGGTAGGCGAAAACAAAAACAACTTTGCCACATTAACATGTTAAAGGAGCATATTGAGAGAG